TAGGGCCTGCTCTTCCTTTTTATGACCCTAGTTCAGCCCCTGAGTCCCTATCCTGTAACGTGCTTTCCACGTGCCTTCTTAGAGGTACAACCTACTGCAGTCATGGAAGCATTTTGCTGAGCATCCACAGACTCCTCACATTTAACTTGGAGGGATCTGAGGTCTTGCTAAGAAACATCTGCCCTGACCATCAACTGAAAACAGCTGTGCGTTGTTTTTTGTTTCTCAATATTTTAGGGAGGGAGAAAGAAGGGGGGATTGTCAGATTGCAAGTTCCTGCCAACAGAAAGAACCTTTTTCTTTTACTCTTTCTGGTTTGGGGTATATTACTTTGTTTTAAAAGGTATGGGATGGGTGAACCGAAAACTCTTCGGAAAAAATGGAAGAGAAACAGATAAATCACGATTCTTCTCTATGTTCCAAGAGGATTTTTCTAAAAAAACGTGAAGAAAGAATGATAGAACATAATAGGGCTATAACATTCTAATAACAAGCACGAGAAGGATTACAGGCCCCTGCAAAAGACACCATGCCAAAATCATTGTGGTTTAAACCACAGATTAGGCATCAGCAGAGCATTGCTACACATAACAGCTCAGAAACAAACCCTGCCACGTGTCTACTGCAGTGGAGCCAAGGATGCAAATATATCTCCACTTATCCAAAAACGGTCCCTTTGAAATCAGTGCAACTTTCTGAGTAGTAAAATCACACTGCATCTCTCTTGCCCATGAGCATTTCACCACGTTGTGCCTATGCTGCTTCTAGGATGTTTCTCTTTAATCTGGCCAGCTACGCCCCTCTTTTCTTCAAACTGTCAGTTCTCCAGTCTATCTTGAGAAGCAAGTAGCCTAAATTACTAGGAAATGCAATCCCAGGGGCCACATGGGTCATCAGGTCCTACCTCTTGCTTAGTACAGGAATGCAAATTAAAATAGTCTGAAAAGATCCCTCTAGCCTCTCCTGCATCATTGGTTCCACTGTTTTCAGCAGAAGGCCTGAGTCTTGAAATATAGGAAGATTACCTCTGGGCATATGCATTTTAAGTATATACTCATGACCTCTTCATACAGTTAAGGGTGCAGGCTCATTAAACTCATTTTTCATGCACATCTAAGCCCCAGCTCCTCTGTTTAGAATCTGTGCTATCTTTCCTTCCTTTGCCACTCATACCCATTGAGAAAACGTGTTGTCTGCAGCAAAACAATCACTTACTATGCTTTTCTCATTGTTGGTTTTTTAGTGGACCTAATAAATGTGCATTTCTCCCCATTCAATGCCTGCTCAAGGCATGCTTTTCATTCTCTACAGGGTTTTATGGCACCAAAAACTAGCCCCAGAACCTGATTTTAATACCAAACTGAACACAGGGAGAGCTTTAGTTTTTTGTTCTTAACTACTATACCACCACTTCTGTTTGTTGTTGTTTTTTTGTCTCTTCTTCCCAGCCATCTGTTTCCCTCCCTCTTTGATTAGATGCACAAATCCTGATTAACCTTCTCTATCAGAAGCACATTACAATCTGAGATATAATATAGCTATTTGAATCTCATTTCTTTCAATGAAAAATGTAAGTGATGCTTTTGGGAATAATTCACCAGAAGGAAAGTTCTCCTGTCACTGAAATAGGCTGAAGTAACACAACGTATAAAGATTTTTTTAAAAAAAATGCTGAAATGCAAATGAAGCACTATTTCAATATGGGGAACAGTCATCTGTACATGAGTATCATACTCAAATTATTTCTTTACCAAACATACTCTGAAGGGAAAAAGAGAGAGAACAGTTATAAGAGGTGTCAGGGGGGAAAAATGGAATGAAAAATTGAATCTGAGTTATAAAAATAAGTAAGTTTGCTACTTGCAGAAGGCTTATTACATTAATTAAACATTATTACAGGGAATAAGTTGGAGAGGGTGTTCAGTCTGAGCCTTTCAGGTTGCCTGAGGCCACACTTATTCTGTGATATTAATCTTCTAAAGCATTTTAAATGTTGAAGAGGTAAACACCAGAAATAGGAAAAAAGTTTCTCCAACTGCACCCCTACAGAAATCCTAACTTTGGGCCAACCTAAAATATTTACTAGATGCCCAGACAGCTTCTGTTTCTTTCTAAACCTGACAGTTTGGCAAAATATCATGGAAACTGTCAATGGAACTTAGGGCCAAAGCCAGCATGTATCAGTTTAGCAAAATCAGGGCTACTCCTATCGCTAAATGGAGGGCCTGTGATGGGAACAAAACCCACCCACTTCCCTGCCTTACTGCCACTGTCATCCACTTTTGCTGCTTTAATTACTTTTCCCGAGTCTGGCTTCCATTCTGACAATAAAGGAAAGAAGAATCCCACTTCTGAGTTCATCTGGTTCAGTTCTTTAGGAAGGATGTAATCTCCTGTGTGAAATGTTTGTTGATCATTCTTGTTATTATGCAAATAGAGAGCCAGTTTGGAGTAGTGGTTAAGGCACCAAAGTAAGTCCTGCCTTAGACACAAAGCCAGCTGGGTGACCTTGGGCCAGTCACTCTCTCTCAGCCC